GTGGTGAGGTAGGGGTCAGACTCTTCTCCTGTGCAACTAGTAATAGAAGCAGAGGGAATGGCCTCAAGTTGCACCAGAGAAGATTCAGGATGGATGTTAGGAAATAATTCTTCTCAGAGAGAGTGGTCAGGCACTGGAATGGGCTACCCAGGGAGGTAGTGGAGTCACCATCCCTTGAGGTGCTCAAGAAACATTTAGATGTTGTTCTTTGGGACATGGTTCAAAGGGAAATATTTGTGATAGGTGGATGTTTGGACTGGATGATCTCAGAGCTGTTTTCCAACCTTGGTGATTCTATGATTATCCAGCTTACCATTTCCAATGCTATATACCTGAAAACATAAGAAAAAAAATATATTTTATAGTCCTAATGAGAAGTAATATTTATAAAAGTACTGTAACAGGTAAACAATATCATTAACAAGCTGTATGACTTGCCCTAAAATGAGTCAATTGTGCAATAGAATTTCTTCTTACCTGATAGATGACCATTGCCAAGGCTGCTGGCTCTTCAAGGAACAATCTAAGGTCTGTGGGAGGCAGAGCTAAGCACTCACATGTTGCTGGGGGCAGGATTTTGTGTCAGGGAATTGAAGATTACCAATAGCATAACCAAAAGGAGAAGAAAGCAGTAAGCCTTTTTTGGCTGAAGAGCATTGTATGCAGTTTAGTAGACTGCTCCAAGGGTCTGATCACCACTCATTTCATGTGCAACACAATAAACTCTGACAGCTCCAGATCGACGACTGAAATAAGAGCAGTATTTGTTCTTTCTCTGTCACTATAGGATAAGCATTCTGTCTGGATCTGTGCACTGTAGGATTATACTGATCTTCTATTGCAATACAGTATGTTACACAAGAAATGATAGCGAGGGGCTGCTAGCAGAAGTAACTAAGATGGGAGGAAAAACAACACATATTATATAATACACTTTCCATTTCCATGGACTTCAAGACACATTTTCAGGTTCAGTTTAAATAGACGAGTCTTCTTCTCATTGACTAGTATTACTACTCAAATTACTGTGGTATCAAGTTATATATATATTACAAATTTGTTATTAAATTTATTTTAATATTTTCTGGACCATATTTTATTTTATTGTTCATGATGCACTCTGATACAAGTCATGTCACCTGGTGTAGGGAACCTGCTTTGGCAGGGGGGTTGGACTCAATGACCTCTGGAGGTCCCTTCCAACCCCTGCAATTCTGTGATTCTGTGATTCTGTGATGTTCTATCACTGATGAGAGATACAAGATCTCCAGTCTCACTCTGGTTAGCTACTTTCCCCTACAAACAGTGTGATTCCTTTGTCTGAGAAATCAATGCTGACTTCATCATGAAGTAATTAATTCAGCTGGCTAAATATGGTGTCACGTTACAGTACATGTCACAATAGACTGATGTGTCATGGGTAATTGTGGCCCATGATCTACTGGAGAAATTTCTTTACCTAGACTCTAGAGAGCAAGCAAATTGAACTAGGGTATCTCAAAAGCATAAGAGACCTATGTTTAAGGAGTCGATCCAAGATCCCTTGCACAAATATTGATATTTGTTTTTAAGCAAAGTTATTACACAAGTGGCTGAAAGTCCTTTACTCGTCAGTTCTAGCATCATACAAAGAAAGGCACAGAGAATAACAATCCTGATCTTTCAGGAGATACACTAGATGGCAACTGAGCCTTTTGTATCTGTTGGGTGTATTTTTAAGGCCTCCTTACCCTAACAAAGCAACGTGAGCACCTCAAACATTTTGATGATGTTGCATTCTGCACTCAGAGACACCATTTCATCAGACACGTTTAAAGTGTTTCACACACACTTTGAAAAAATTCGGTCTACTGAAAAGGAAACAAGTCAGTGAATGGACGATATTTCCCTTAGGCTTTATCTTACTGTCAGTCACAGAAATACACTTCTTTCCTGAATGAAAACAATCAGAATTATGGACAATATTCCAGGTATAATCCCACAAGTACCTCATGATATTGCCCTGTATCTATCAGAAACATCTCTCTTGTGATTGCATTTGATTTTCTCATGTGACATTAGTAGCTGTAATCATACATTTCTCAGTCAGTATCCTTCTATCTCTTTTTCTTCTGTCATTTCTAAATTATGAGCTTCCAGCTATTACAGGAATACCTGCAATTAATCCTGGCACGCATTACTTATCCTTTCATCCTACTTCTGTTTTATGTCTGAAGTCTGTTCCATTCCTCCCTTATTTCACTTGGCTATTACTGTGTTGATAAGAACTCCTATTTTTGTGCCATCAACAGATATAATTGCTCCTCCTCTGCACTAAGGCCTTTAATGAAAATATTGAATAAAACCAGTCCTCAACTTCAGTTTCCATTCTACTGAGCCTGTGCATCTTACACATGCCTGTGTTTTAGGAGTTTAGTAAAACTAAATTACATTATGTGGAATGCATGCATATACAGTGTGGGGAAAAGCTTTTGTTTGTGCAGACTTACAGGCACGGGTCCTTTACTCAGCATTATTTTTTAATTTTCTCTGCCTGTGTACTGAAATCATGGAGAGATATTACATATAAAAAAACTCAAATGATCATTTTTTATTAGATCTGCTATTAAAAATATCTTACACTGTAATCCCAGGAGGCTTATGCTCCAGGAACTCCAGTAGATTCAACACAGTAAAAAGTGCCATCTGCTGAAGATGATGAACCACTCACAACTCTTTCTTATAACATCAGTCTTGGCCTATTGATGGGTCTTTATCTTCTTAATCCACGTGGGGTTTTTTTGCCTTTCTGGGAAAAGGGAAAAATCTGTGAAAGATGACCAGAAACTTGTTTGAGCTGAGAAGTTTCAGCAAAAACCTGCCTTTGCAATCTCCCTGTATGAACTACCTCTGTATGAACTTCTCCAGTCAACATCTTTTCCATGCTCCCAGATGTGACCCTGCCTTTTCCTTCAGACCAACTGTGTTGTCCAGTCTGTGTATCGTTTTTGACAGTGTTTCACTATCACAGAGTGATAGAATCATTAAGGGTAGAAAAAACCTGTAAGATCATCTAGCCCAACAGTTCATGTACCATCAATGCTGCCCACTAAAGCACGTTCCTTAGTACCATATCTACACATTTCTTGAACAGCTCACACTATCTCCTCCTAGTGCTGGTATGACTTTCAAATTCTCTTCCTGCTATTCTCCCCAGCAAATCATTCTGGTCCCTCTTTTCCCAGTGCCTCCTACATCAGAATTTAAAATAAGATTTTTCTATTTTCTTGAAAGGTTTTTCTACCCAGTACCCAGTCTGTGACAACATCCAGTGGTGAATGCTACACTGTGGAGAACATGATGAGACCTCTGGCTGGGGCACTCTCTGAGGCTCTTGGACCACATAATTAGTGGCTGCCTGATCATAGCACCCCATTCAATGTATTTAAAATAAGATGACGAATCTACTCTCCATCAAATTTTCTAATTGTTTCTATTTTAAGAACTGAAATATTCAGTTGGCACTGAGAGCCATAATTTGATTACACACTGTGAGAAAAAAAGTACTTTCTCTTGCATTATTTGCTGCTAATCTGCTGCCTCTAACCTTACTAACTGCCCTCTAATTCTGGCATTGTAAGAAACATAATAATCATTTTCTATCCATTTTCACCACAGTACCCTGAGGCCCTTATCACAGCCACATCTTTTCATATCTAAGCAATTCTTATCTATTTAATTTCTGGAAGACATGCATCTTTGTACATTTGTTTGATTTTTTTTTTTTTTAATCGAATCCTTCTGTGCCAAAATTATCTGGACTGCATATGATCTTTAAGCTGAAAGCACTCCTTACAGTCATAGTGTCATAAATGTACTTCATGTGACAAAGTGAGATCCCTAAAGGCAATGTAGTGGCACTAGAAGAGTAACTTCCTCAGCCAGGAAGTCTCTGAGAACTGTTTTTCTCATAATTTCCTGGTTGGGACATAGTATTCCCCCGGCTATGGAGGACCAGAACTGACTCCTACGTATAATTCCCAAGTAAACATTCTAAAACATTTTGGAAGAATTTTAAGTAATAACTAGTTAAGACACAAATAGAAAATAACCAATCTCTCTCTTGGAAAATATTTCCCTGTCTTAAACCTAGCTGTGGCAAAGAGCGATAAATGTTCAAATGTGAGAAAGAATGAAAGAATAACTCTAACGTTTAGTTTTAGCTACCTAAAAGCCATGTGTATTCAGTACTGAAATGTCAGAACCAAACTCCTCTGCCAACATTTTGAATTACCTGAAATTCCATTTTCTCCCAATAACACATTCCCCGTAAAAGTAGTGCAACCAATTCTAGTTAATGGTCTTCACTAAAAAAACAGCGAAGCAGAATGAGTCATATTCTCAGTTGGGGATGTAGAAAAGATGACGAAGGAATGAAAAAGTGGGCAACATGAGTAGAATCTGTAAGTCTGATGATGTTACAGTGATCCAGCTTCCTTTGTTCTTACGTGGGTATAAATAATGTTGGTATTTCATTATAATGACACCCAATTAAAAATTCTGTTCTTCAAGCCTTAATTCTGGTTCTGCTTTTCTACAGAACCAAGAACCAAACAGTTGCAGTAAGTAATTATTTACAGTATCACCCAAACCAGGCATTTCCTTTCTAAAAATCTGTTACCTTTTTTAAGCAGCTATTTCCAAAATCTCAGTCAAGAACAAAGGCTTTATTAAGGTTTTTACATGGCGACTGGAGATTTCCGATAAAGAAATACACGTTGTGTATACTTCAGCATCTACCTTTTCTTGTATTTCCCCAGTTTTTTGTTTGACAGTACATCTAGGTAAGTGGTTGAAGGGGAGCTTTGAGAGCTAGGAGTGAAAAGGGGTTCTTTTTGTGCAAATATCTTTGTTGATTTCCTGGACTGTTTCCATTCACTTGGGTTTCACTATCCTTAATATTACAATACGTAATCCTGCTTTTCATGGGTTAGCTGTCAACAAAGGGAAAATTTCAATGATTCATCGTGAATTTTAATAGACTTTTGCATGATTTATTGATGTAAATATGCTGCAAATAGCTGGTAGGACATTAAAGGGCAAACAAAATGTTTGGGTTTTTTCTTTAACATGGTTTGGAATTGAACAGTGTAAACAGAACATAGTCATCACCACTTTATTTTATGTCATCCCAATCTACCATCAAATCCTTCTCATATACAAATTCACTTTTTTTTGTCATCTTGATTACCTAGAAATCTTGCATAATGAAATATTATTTACACTGTGTATGACTCACAATTAATTACAAATAAAAATTATACAAAATGATTAAAATATATCATTACATGAAAAGCAAGGAAGATACAGTGGATGTTCAGATCACCTATAAATGCTTACATATTTGTACATGTCTTTCTAATCTGAAATTAGTAGATGATATATCTGACGATTTTGATCAGGAATATTGGTTCTTATGTCTGCACTACGAAATGGAAGCAACATTTCCAGACATAATGAGCCACTTAAGAAACATTTATGATACTGCATAGGATGAAGCATAATAATCTTAGAAAAAAAATTGATATTTTTATCAATATAAAATATTGATAAATATTGGTAAAATATAATCAATTTAATTCATGCCATACAGATACATTGTATATTAAACCAATACTGTAAGATGGCATTGTAAATAAACATGGCAGAGCTGTAACATTTTAAAAATAAGCAATTCACAGGGCATTTGTATCATAAAATAGCAGATGTACAGTATTATTTACATTGCAAACCAAAGAGATAGTAACCCTCACAAAACCTCAGGAAACAATTTGGTCAAACCATTGATCACAGACCTGATTCATAAAATATGCAGGAATGTGGGCAGAACAGATGGAAAAATAAGTCCTTATATATCTGAAATGCTGCATTATGTACTGGGTGTTGACCCCTCTCTCCAGCCACCCATGCATGAGGTATGGCTGCAGTCCCACCACCCTCGCTCACAGTGTTTGCAGAAGGCTAAATTACACTTTGAGGCCCCCCGCATCCCTTTTGTTACCTTTTCACTTCAGCACATGCAGGACTGCAGCCTAACTGGCCCATGTAACCACACGTAAAATCCAGATGCAGGTCAGGGGAAGTGCTGTGTTGCTCCACACAGAGCGCTTTACACCAGTGCGCCGGATTATGGTTCTGTTAGCAGACTAAGCATTACCCAGCAAATACAACGCTTGCAGGATCAGACCATTGATGTCTTACACAGCAAGGAGGGTGGGATATGGTTTCAAAGCTTTTTGCTTTGCCCAAGGACTCCTATTAGCTATAATAACAGCCCAGTGGTTTTTCATTGCAAGGATGAGGGAGAAGTCTGGTCTGTAGTTGTTCAGAACACTTGGTTTTGGGCATGGCAACGCTGACAAAGGCTTTGACTGTGCTGTAACAACCTGATTTATTAGTGGAGGCTTAGGACCACTACAGATCACTCCTGATTCACTGTAGCATTCAAAATTCACAAAGCCTTGATTTGTGGAAAATGCACCTTATTTGCTGAATCCCAATATGGAATTTGGATATTAATCACTTCAGCAATTAATCATCAAATAATGCTTATTAAAAAGGACAGTCACCTCCTGCCCCACAGCAGTGCTGTAGCTACTCAGTAAATAGTTACCTGCCGAGCTCAGGTACATCTTCTATAAGACCAAAGATCAGCACTGACCGTTGTATTTGAATGGTGTCACTTTCACATGTGGCAATAGGAAACAAGTTTTAAAAGAACACAAATTTTGACAAATGAGTTCTACATCACAACTGTCCTCACACTTCACACCCTCTCTCCCATTATCTTTTTTGTTCCAAAATATTTCATAAAACAGAGAGCACACAGTAGAAGTCATGTACTACTTTACATACAAAATCTAAAATGCTGCAAATTTCATTTTTTACCCAAGGATTCACCAGAGTGAAATGCATGACCACGTGTCTGTGCTAGGTGAGCAGCATGTCAGCATCTGTTGTGCCTATAAACATCAGCTCCACTGGCTGAGATGAGCCAAGTACATTTGCAAACTTGGTCTCCTCCTAGCAGAAAGCTCAACATACCCATACAAAACTACTCTAATCTGAAATACAGAGTTTTTGTGCATGTCTGTAGTCTAGCCTTTATCCAGCAGACTTCTAGCAGCCAGACAGAGCTAATGACACAGTTGAAGAGGTGTCAAATAAAAAAAAGCAGACAAAAAAAAAAAAAAAAGTTATCACAGAAGTGATGAAGCAGTTACTCATCCATTTCATTGCATGGGAAAGCAAGCTTGCAGCAAACTACCCGATGCACTCCCCACTTGTGGTACTGGAGTAATGCAGAGACATAGATTCACACTAACTTTCTGAGTGGTTGGAGAAAAATAGTAAGTACTGTCTGGGTGGTATCTTGAGCACCTGGAAGTGCGAATGAGCTGGTACTTTTCAAACCATGTTATTGCAGTGCTTAGAAAGCAAAGCTCTGACAACGTTTTCCATGGAATACACTACATTTGTGATGACTGAAGTCAGACCTGGCAGCTGAATTGCATTTTCAGAATGATTGGATAAAGTAACCAGGTAACTTCCCTTTTCAACTCTCTCTGTATATAAAACTTCTGGATTTGTTGTAACAGTATCTTATTTGATCACTATTCACTGATTTCTCTCTGAAATATATAAGTTGGTTATCCTGGTCACAATCAGGAAGAAAATGTTCTTCTGTATAGTTTCTCTGGAAAAAAACCCAAAATTTTTTACTGGTTATTATGTTACTAATATGATAAAAAGTAATTAATGCAAGCTACCTACCTGAGGAATAGGTCAAATGAAGTGAGAACTCTCTTGAAGGAAACCCATATGATTTTGTTAAAATAAATTCTCCATATCATTAAACTTCAAGATAAAACAGGAAGCAGAAATTAGAACAATTTTTGATGAAGGCCGTATCCACATCAAAAGCTTCAGAAAATATGCCTTCTAAAAAGAAATTTTGCAAAACTGAGTAGGTAACGCAAGGTTCTTCAGAATGCACTCAGCTGAATTTCAGAGGGATCTCTGCTGTTCTGTTGGTAACTAGCAACTCATAAATGAGATTATAGATTTATTTATGAATCAGGTACTGTGCAAAGATCATGCGCTAAGAGAGCTCATTACTTTCCCTTTCAAACGCATTTATGAAGGATTGGGGTAGGATAACCGCCACAAGTTAACTAGAAGCATGAGAAAAGAGAAGTTGTTGAAGAGAAATGTTACTGTTTAGACAACCTTTAGTACTCAGACAAGGCAAAACTTCTTTGCTTGGTCCTGTAATGAACAATAAAATCTGTATTTTGTTTATAAACATTTATATGAATACTAGCCTAAAACTAGAGGCATTGAAATAGAAGATGTATAGTATATTGTATATTGCTTTCCTTATAGAGTGTACGTTATGTTTCTAATATAGTGACAAACAGTAAAATTTCTTGGACAATCTAGAAGAACCTCATTGTAACAAACAACATTATAGCAGGTCACACTATGAAAGCAAAATGTGAAGCCCCAATGCAGTGCAGGCATGTCATTAAAAGATAAACTGGAATGTTTTTAGAAGGCTGTTTTACCTTTCCACTCTCTGTTAACAACATGTCTGCATGTGTTCTGTAAAGTTTCTTCTTCTTTTTTGAGACCTTTAATTCTTTGGATAAAGGAAGCGCAAAGAAAGCAAACTGCCCTCCATTGCTATAGTCAGCAAGACTCATAACATCAAAGTTTAAGTGAAAGGAAGTAGAAAGACAAAAGTATCAACAGAAGCTGACCAGAAGAAGGCCATGAATATATGTTTTGTTTCTTCTAAAGAAGGCCCAGATTATTGGCCTTTTTACTGTTTGCATTTAGTGGAGAGAAAAAAAAAAAAAAAAAAAAAAGCAACTCGCCAGAAAGAGATTCAGGACCAACATCCCCTGATTGATCTCTCCAGCCTGCAAGGTTTACAGATAGCGTCTGCTTTTTTGTTTTCCAGCAACACATGGAGAAAGATTCCTTGTTCTGTGGAGGACTGTGTGAACAACAATTCACAGAAAGTCAGTTTTAAAACAAGAAGAATAAACTTTAGCTTACATATTTGTCAGAAGCTCATAGGGTCACAGCTATCAAGATATACATTCTATTATAGGAAGAGCAGTACAAATGTTAAAGCTTTTAAGCCTGTATGTAATTCACTGCACGCACAATTTTCCCATGGCCTACACATATGGCACATCAATTTATTACATAGATTTGTGTTTCCTCAGAGGGACTAATACTGAATTCTGCTGTGCTATACCAGTGCTGCAGCCTTGAATAATTCTTGCTGAATGACACGACACAGGTTTGGTCAGTACATGTATTGCGCACTTCAGCTGCTTCCAGTCAAAGTCACAAATGATAGAACCAAACTTCACTGCTTTGTTTTCAAGTAGATAAGTCTTTGGTTAATAATAAGTTCAGTTGGTCTGGGGAACAGCCATAACTGAAACAGTAATTTTCAACCAGAGGTACTGTAACTTCCAGACCATTAAATGCCAAATAAATTCACAATAACAAAACTGAAATGCAGCATGAGATATTTTGCGCGGGTTCTGTTTCTTTTGGTAGGTGGATTCCTTTCTTGACAGCTAGGAAAAGTAAGAAACCAGTCTGGGTTTTGTTGTTACTCCATTGGTTTCAGTGTGGGAAGATCTTGGCTTACATGCTTTGCTGAGCTTTTTTGTCCACGAGCTCCCAGTAAGAGTCTAACCTGCCATATTTTTTCCTAGAAGATTACAGGTCACAGTTTGAAAATAATACCAGATTCATGTAGTACTAAATTGATCTCATAACCATTAAGGTAACAGAAGTGTACAGAGATACCACTCTACCTCTCCTATACATTACTGAAACAGAAATATTGCTGTTAGTTGGGTTACCATCAGCTCTACAAGAAATCCTATGCAAACTACTACTGTTCACAAACACCACAGTGCTCTAAACCCTGTCAGAGCTCCAGTATTACTTAATGACATCCAACATTACCTTTATGGTAAGCATTCTTTGTTGATAGTGCAAAGCTGTAATCCCATTACGTAGGGCTGCATTACTTGCGCACGTACTTGCAGCATTACAGTGTTACAGAACACAGTAAAATCAATTTTCAGAACTCATTGGCATTCAGGCAAGATTGGCCCATTTCCTGGAGAGCAGACTTTGAGTTGGTCAGTATTCACATTTTAGGATACTAAATACTTTCATCCAGTTTGCAAAACAGAGAAGTGAGAAACAAGGGGCAATTCTCAGCCACCAGAAAGCTGAGAGTAAAACTTCACTGAACTGCTCCTTCCCTTTGCTCTGCTCTGAGCAAACAGTTGACCACTAATGGCTGATAACTCCTAAATTCCTACTCCTAAAACTGAGTACCACAGACTCAGGTGAACATTCTCCTCCCTAAAATAAACCAGATTTCTTACTTGTAGCTACATCTTACCTCTGCACATATCTGGCCCTGTTACATGAGGTGTTTGAAGCAGCTCAGACAGAAATTAGCCCTCAGGTTTTACTTTGGCAACACTGAAATCAAAGGGAAAAGGCAAAAGATAGTTCTCTAAGGCATCAAAGAGTAATCATTCTGGAGTTACCTGCAGAGGAAATTTAGATGAGTCTGAACAAATTGCCAGGTAAACCATCAATTTGAGAACTGTATTTGACTCCTGGAGGAAAGTGACAGATCTAAGTAGCAGAAACATGAGGTTTCCTATTCAAAGTTTCATAACTTTCATGAGTTTTCCTTTGGATGGGAGGAGTGAGGGGTCAGACAGTATGGAGACAAAAAAAACTTTTAAATTGTGATCGTTCTTTCAGGAGAATTCTGCAAGCAAAGTTCAGCATGTACTCAGAGACTTTGGGATGAGTCTGAATCATGACTTGATGAGTCCAAGCTGTGAAGTCTATGCCAATAACACTGGCTTGTTTTTGAAAAAGTCTTGTAATCATTGATTTATCTCACTAAAGAAATATAAATCACAAGAACTTTATCAGTAAGTAGCACTGAGTTACTTTTCCACAGTTGTCTGTAAGAGCTCCAAACATAGCTGATTAGTATCAGCTATAGGGCTGGAGAAGATCATGCCTTCCACCAAAACAAGGACGGATGCCAAGGATGCGTGACAGCTCAGAATGATCCCAGAAGTAAACGACAAAACTATCTCAGGATAGCTATCAGGCACTGCAGCATCCACATATTTGTGTTTTTAATTCCCAAACATTTTTCTGTATATTTTGTCATATTATGTTCTATAATATAAAGTATAACATGAAATGCGTGCACAACGTGTAGGATGTGAAACACAGACAACTGCTGGTGCTGCTTGTCCTGACATTCCTGTTTCACTACCAGTCCTTAATACTGCAATAACACCAGATAAATGGAACTGATGCTATCTAAATCTAAAATCAGAAGTATTCCCATCCCCTCTGACAATGATGAGCAATGGGCGCCAAAAGCACAGAATTTACAAATTATTTACAATATTTACTAATATTTTTTGCAGAAATTTCATTCACTGATAGAAGTTACTGTGCATACCCTACACTTGACAGCGCCTCAAATCTGAAATGCAGAGATTTTATAGATGGTACACAGAAAAGGCACATCCTACAGAATTGATTTCTAAAGAAAGTGGTAAAGATTATAGAATCATTAAAGTTAGAAAAGAACACTATGTTCATCCAGTCCAACCATCAATCCATCCCCACCATGCCCACTAACCCATGCCCTTTTCTTGAACATCTCCAGGGACAGTGACTGTAGCACCTCTCCAGGCAGCCTGTGCCACTCACTGCTTCACTGCTCCTTCTGAGAAAAAGGATTATTCCTGGACTGTAAGTTGGTCTGCTTCTGAACACAAAAGTAAAAATAATTGCTTAAATCATAGTACAAATTGCATGCAACTGCTGCCAGTTGATAAAGCAGCACCTGAAGGCTGGATCCAGAAGGTGAATAAAACAGAATCAACACTAAATCCTGACATTCTTCCAGTTGGCAACTCTGGTTATTTTGAGTGTAATTTTATAGCTAACTTGCGACAACAAAAACTGCTCAACCCAAAGCTTTTTCTCCATGTTATGACACTTTGATTTGCCTTCACCTCTGCTCCTGAACCAAGCTTCTCTGGCAGACACACAGTGCCTGTTTTTAGCTCTGTGAGCTACTAATCCAGTTTCTCTGACAACTACAATTTCTGGAAGAAGCGACTGGTGTTACGATGTCTCAGAGCTATGAGCCCATTTGAGAAATTAGCGTCTTAGCTGACCTTTAAAGCAAGTGAGAATAATGCGCCTGCAGTTGCGCAGGGTTTGGATTTCATTATCGCAGCAGCACATACAAAGCAGGATGCCCCTGCTGCACAGCTATGCCTCTCTGATTTGTTTTCCTGGTAATTATAGAAACTGTTTACATGGAAAATCTGCAAGTTTTCTCAGCTAGGGAAGACAATACCGCTCCTAATTCCTTTTCTCTGGAGAGAATGACAGTTCACAGAGCAGAGGACTGTTCTTCCCAAGAACTTTCCCACGGCCTCCCCAACCAGGACTGCAATGCAAATCACTGCAGATGGCCGAGGGCAGGAATGGAGACAGTAGAGATGGAAGGGTGGGAGAAGGATGGGAGTTGTACAGCAGTGTCCCTGAATCTTCCCACTCACCTCTGGTTCAGAGCTCAGTCCAAGGCCCTTTGAAACTCTGGCCCTTGTCCCTGATGTGCTTCTCTCCATGTACACGTTTGCTTTTCCATCAGAAGTTGTAAATACTTAGACTTAGGGTAGCAGAACCTCACTCAGTTTCACAGGAGTTCCAAAATCTCTTGGTACTCTGAAGTCTACTGGATCCCAGATAAAAGTGGGCAGCAAGGTATGAGGTTAATAAGCAATATTCTAACATCAAAAACATTAATGGCTGCAACTTAACTGCTAATTGTAAGGAAATATGTATGCCATGTACTGGGATGCGAATTGTGCCTGGAGTGGGCTTTGTTTGGGCTTCAGTAGAAGACATAGTGCTCACAGATATCCTAGGAAGTGCATTTAGAGACTGGCACGGGGATGCATTCTCCCTCTTAATACATGCTAAATCAACTGAATTCAATCTTGGCCTAACCTAATATGATTTGCTTGGCATTTATGCACCTGAAATTAACTATAAATGACCGTTGGCTGCAATTGCTTTTGAAAACTCCATATATAGAACTGTTTCTGAAGAAATGGCATGAACTCTAAATTATGTCACAGACTTTAGATCTTTGAATCTTTTTGCTTTGACTCAACACTTCCAAACGTGCAGTTTAGACATTTCTAAACAATATTTATTAATGAAGCATGATAGAATCATTAATTTTTTTAAGAGCTAACACTGAAGTATCATATTCCTACACACACCTGGAAGGCATTCAACTCTACTTGAAAAAGTACCTCACTTGTAAAGTTTTATAGCTACTGACATGTTTTGCATTCACCATCTCAACTTAGAGAAATTCTGAGACCTATCCCAGAAAAGTCAAACGGTGAACAAAAATGGGGCATCTGTCTTTCCTTTTTACATTAAGAATTTGTAGATTTCCCTTTTCCTTCACAACTTTTTTTTCTGCAATCGGAGATTGAACTCACTTGAAATAACTTTCCCTCATCCAAAAATAATGGATTTCTCATGCAACTCCACTAAAACTCTGAGGATAATAAATTCTAAAACTCATCCTACTGACATCACATACAGCACATTCTTGCACTCTGCAACATAGTGATAGTACACTCCTGACCATCGAACTTCCAAATGCACAGAATCTTTATTCACTTTCTTCAGATGCATTCTCCCTGTGGGCTCCTTATCCGTACACCCTCAAGATCTGATATGGATTTATAAACCACATTTTAAAAGCTTATTTGGGCATTCAGAATCTCAAGATATTGAGCAAAATGAGTTCTGGCTGTCAGAAGAAGTTTGTGTGACAAAGAATATGGGATGGAGGAAAAAGTCTTTGGGACTTCGAAAAACTTCCCTCCTAGCAAATGCAAATAACTGGAATGATGCAGTTGTGCTTTAATTGTAAAAAATATTCAGAATGTTTTTTAATCAAACAGAAATGCCACATAAACTTTTACAATGAATATGTTTGTTCCTCTTTTCTCTTTCCCGTGTCATTTGTTATCACAGGCTCACTTCTAAAAAAAAACCTCTACTCAATAGCTATTAATTTCCAACCACACTCCTTTGCAATAAGCTCCAGAACTGATATTGATGCAATACTGTGTTTCAGCCTCACTAGGGAAGGAAAAAATACCTTAGAGATGCGCTGATAACAAACAAATACTAAAACAGCTTAAGAAGTGCTCTTCTCTGACTATTAATCAGTCTTAACATTAATTTACTGCTGCTTATAAAAGCAGAACTTATCAATTACTTATAACTGTTTTATTGCTCATATTTATCATTCTTGGGTTTATCTTGCATATAATGCTGTTGTTTTTAGGATGGGAGAACAGTCTTACTCAGCAGGCTAGTCTTTAAGACACTCTGTTTACAGCTACAAGCCTTCTCTAATCCTGATCTGCAGTTCCAATTTTGCCCATCCCTATTTAAGTAAATAACAACATGTATTTTTAGAAAATTAGCAAAAAGACAACGCCTCACAAAATCAAATTATTCCACTACATTCTCTTCTCCTTTGGAGAAGAGGATGGAAGGACAAACAATACACAACAGGGTGTTATTGTGTCATTTCATGTTTTGTTAAAAAATGTTCTGTTAGGGTGATAGCTGTCTTACAAGAGTCTACAGCGGAATAGAGTTGCATGGCTGAACTTATTGCTTCAAGAGTAGTCATTTCAAAGTATTGCAAATATAACTCTAAAAAACAGTTATCTCAATATAAGACCTTCTGCTAATAGTAACTTTGGGCCTACAAAACGAAATCACAAAACCAAAAAATGTTTTAACGTTAATATATTAACGATAACCCAACAACTATTCTTCTGCCCTATAGCATTTGTATACTTTATTATCATCTAATACAACAGAATAACTAGCAAGGTTTATATAGGCATTCTGCCATATGGCTCAGGTGAACATTCATAACGAGATCATAGAATCACAGAACTGCTGGGGTTGGAAGGGACCTCAAAAGACTGTTGAGTTTAAGCCCCATGCTGAAGCAGGCATCTTACAACAGGTTGCCTAGGTAGTGTCCAGATGAATCTTGAATATCTCCATGGAAGGAAACCTCATAACCACCTTGGGCAACCTATTCCAGTGGTTCTGCTTCATCACCCTTACCATAAAGAAGATCTGTGTTATTATTGAACTTTCTATGTTCAAATTTTAAGCCGTTTCTCCTCCTCCTATCACTTTGCACCACTGAGAAGATCCTGGCCTCATCCATTTGCCTTCCGCCTCACTTCAGACACTTATAAACATTAATCAGAACCCCCCCTGTCTTCTTTTCCCCAGGCTGAACAAACCCAGGTTACTCATCCTTTCCTCATACAGAAGACACTCCAGACTCTCTATCATCTTTGTGGCCCTCCAGTTGACTCCTTGTAGGAGAGGTCTCTGCCTTCTTTCAGCTGGGGAGCCCAAAACTTGTCAGAGTAGTCTAAATGTGGTCTCACCATGGTAGAGTAGAGGAGGAGGATCACCTCCCTCAACCTGTTGACCACGCTCTTTTTAACACACCGCAAAATCCAGGAGTTGTGATTGGCAACACTTATAGCTTACGTAAGTGGTTCAGACAGCAGAAGGAAGAGATTTCTAGAACTGCAGTAGCCCTTGTTCTGGGTAGTCACCATATCAAACCACTGTTCATCCTGGACTGTGCTTATCTGTCCATCTACCAATTCTTCGGCCAATTTAAAACTCTGAAAAGCAGCACAGACTAAAAGATTTCAGAGACAGCACTGGTCTAGAGAAGCTTAAATCAATGGGATCAATCTCACTTTCCTTGGACATCTTAAAAAACAGATCTCTAGACTCAGTTGTATGTGATCACAAAGAAACAAGCACACCCAGGCAGATTATAGGCAGGTTTTAGGCAGCCTCATGCTGTGTCTAGAATCAGGAGGGGGGGAAGAGGAGAGGGGGGAGGAAGGACAACAAGCACTGAAAGACAGTGTCTTTTATTTTTTTTTTTTTTGTCCAAAATAAAACATGTTCAGCCTCACTCGCCGTTGGAAACTAAAATCCCAAGAGCAGATGGCCAGTTTAGCATCTGCCTCCAGATGCTCTTCTTGCTAAGGCTGCCAACAAAGTTGCCACTTTGCATAATTTCTTGTATTGGCCTCTCTAATGAGAGCCCCAACTAGATGCCCCATGCTGTTTCTTTCAGAAGCCATTTAGTTGCTGCAGTGACACTGGGATCAGAGATAAGTGGAGGTTAACCTTTCTAAGCCACAGGAACAAGTAAGCATCTGCCAAGGTGAATGACTTGTGACCTATGACTGAGTTGCTGCATTCCCCAGTGTCACTGTTTTATTTGCTTTCATGCATGATTAGAAGCCAAGCCACAAAAGATCAAACATGCATATGAAGTTAAACAGTTTATAGATTTTTGTTGTGAAGTTGCTCATGCATTGCAAATTAATAACATTGTTGAAGAATAACTTCTTGCTACATGGATAAGTCTAGTGCTTAGGAAAGTTAAAATCAGACATGTAGCAGACAGTTACTGCACTGATTTCACCCAAATCCCCCAGTGAAAACTTCTGCTGCGGTCCTCCCCCTCTCTGCAACTGCCTGCTGTGTCACTGTAGCAGTATTGTCTTTGCTGCAAATAAGAGCAAGATCAACCCTTTGATCCTACTTTTCCTTTAGATGTAAGCAGTCATGTCAACAACAGATGTTAATAAGAACAATGATAAGAATTTCTCACCATCTGTCATACACTGCACATACTATGCTGCAAAACAAAAAAGAGTGGAGGTTTTTTAAATTTTAAATAACAGAATTCTGAACCAGAACAGGAAGAGTATGCAAGGCAGTGGAAGCACAAACAGTAGCAGCAGAAGGTGAAACTCCTGCCTTTGGAGCCTTCTGCAAAATCAGCATCTTCAATTCATGCCATCCTTTACTGCCACTGGCATCCTCAACTCCAGAAAAGCTCAATGAATAACACATTTCTTTGAAGGAAGGGAGCCAACTGTTTCTGAGTTTACTTCCAACTGCGCTTTAGCCTTTCTCACAACATCCCTGCATGCTTTGGCATTATTGCTATATTCTTTCCATGTGGCCAGACCCTTTTTCCACATTTCATAAACTTCCTTCTTCCCTTTGAGTTTATCCATGAGTGCAACTTCCACGCAGATTTCCTGCCACCTTTGCTTTATTTCTTACTCTTAGGGATGCACTGATCTTAAGCTTGAAGTGACACCTGAATGTCAGCAAGCTCTCTTGAACCCCCCTTACAGTCTAAACACTCTAACCCATAGGACCTTTCCAAGTAGGTTTTCAAAAACATCTAAGCCAGCTCTCTAGAACTCCTGAGTAATGATCCTACGTATTGCCCTGTTTCTTCCACTCAAGATCCTGAACTTCATCATCTCATGAATGCTGCCCTAAACCCTCACATTCCCAGACAGCGCTTCCTTGACTGTAAGAATAAGATCCAGCAGCAAATCTCTCCTTATTGACTTCTCCACTATTTGTGTCAGAAACTTCGCCTCCGTACACTGCATGAATCTCCTGGTCTGTATGTACCTGGCAGCACTGTTTTTCCAGCAACTGTCAGACTGACTGAAACTCATCAGAACCACTGACTGTGACTGTGGGGCTGCTTCCAGCTGTTTGTAGAAGGCCTCATCAAAATCCCTTCACTTGATAAGGTGGCCTGTAGTGCACACTCACAACAGTGTCACTCACCTTAGCCTGCCCCTTAATTTTCACCCACAAGCTCTCTACTTGCTTACTGTCCATTCCCAGGTAGAGCTTGATACATTCCAGTTGCCTCCTCATGTAAAAAGCAACTTCACTGCCTCACCATGCTGGTTTGTCTTTCCTAAAGAGACAGCTGTCAAGCTTATGCTTCTTGTTTTGTTGCTAATTTAAGCATGCTGTTATCTGTAACATTACAAAAGCATAATTTTACAAAGCAATAACAGTGTCCAAAACAGAGTGAGAAGCTCTGTGACTGAGTTAGGGCGGGGAAGTGGGTCTGCTCAGTGTGCTGTCAGCACTCAGCAGAGGTGAGGCAGAAGCCTGAGATCAGAAGATGAAAGAGTGCAGAGGATGCTAGATGTTTGTGATGCTGCTGTTGGATTAGTCTTGTTGGCAGATAGAAAGCGTGAGGGCTTCCTCTGGATGCTGAAGAATCTGAAAGCCATTCTGCAGCTACACTTGCCCCAACAACTGATACAAGCTTCACACCCATCTGCAATTCAAATTGGTTTGTGGTATTTTATTTCCCCCTTCATTTTAAAGTCTGCTGGGATAAAAAGGATCTTTATCCTATTATTTTGTTCAGAGAAAGAAATATTTAATACAATATCAGTAAGCAGAGCATAAGTCTCAGCGCAGAGCTATGGTATGTTTAAATGTTTGCAACACGCCACAGTTCTGCGCCATTTGCTTTATACAGAAATACATATATACATATATATATGAAAGAGAAATGTTAATGGAAAACAGAGAAAAGGTGGATGTCTCTGCAGGCACAGAAGCACCGTGAACACAGGAGGGGACACCACTATGAAACTGCATCCGCATACAGATGAACCTCAGTAGGACCAGCTAGTGACAAAGTGCAAGTATTTCTTCTTCAGCATAAGCAATTCCCATACAAGATGGTTTTCTGTTTGCAGAGGCATGCTTCCAGGCCCCACAGTGCCTTTCTGAACAGACTGAGATCTGAAAATGGATGTGGGAATGAACAGTGAAGTCAAAACCACAACCACATTTAACAACTATGAGCTTTTTGGAATTAAAAGAGCAAAACCCTGTGGGATTCTGCAAGACAGCCACACTACTAAAATTCTGTGTTTGCAGTAACTCTCCCATGCAGCGGCTTTTGTCTTTGTATGGTAGGTATTTCCAGAGTGATACTGAACAAAATTTAATCCACTGCTCTACAATTTCCTTCACTCTGAGTTCTTGACCTCTGTGCCCTGCATCACAGAAAAGCCTGTGTGACAGAGAGCTTCAAGTAGATGGAGAAATCTGACAGAAAACCTCTAAAAGGTGCTCTGGGGGAATAACTGCTGTTTCTGTTTACTTAGGCCTCATGCCTTTAGTAAGAGAAGTTGGCCTGTGAGTCTGCCTCTGTGGTCAGCCTATGGTCTCCAGTCTGTCTGAGCCTGGATCAGGGGCAAGCTGCACAGAACCAGGCTGTGGCAAAAAGACCAATAACCCCAGCTTGGGCCCATGCATTCTCCTTCCCATTCAGGGAATATGCAGTAGATCTCCTCTCTTTATTTTCAGAGAGGAAAAAAGGATCATCTATTTAATAGGAAATAAAATATCAGGAGGAAATTCCAACTACAATATGTGATTTCTACATTTCAGCACCTCTCTGCCTCAACATCCCAGGGAAAAAACACTGCAAAGCCTTTTATTCGTGAAAACAATATCAGGCAAATGAGAACATTTTCTCACTAAAATGAAGCGCTGTTGACCAAATGCTGAGTTTGACTATGATCTAACCAACTTCACAGCATTAACCTTGCTAATAAACTATATTTCACTTCATACAGGTGTCCAACAAATAAATGTTTGGTTATAAATGTGTAACCAAATACTGCAGGCAGCAGATGCAGCTACTAAGTTAAACAATGCTGAGAATGCTTCATACTTTTCTCTCACTGACCAAGTGCCTCTAGAAAGCCTGCACTTCTCTATTAACTTAACCTGTCCTAACACAGAAGCAAATAGGACAATACATAGCATCAGTGCTGAAGTTTTTGGCATGTTACCTTCACAGAAACTTATAAAAAATGGAGACTGTCTATTATTATACAGTAAATCTGCTCCAATTTGGGGAGCTCTCTCTGTGATTACAGAGATTATCAAACAAACTGTAACTGGAGACTGTGAGGATGGCACTACAATTTTTTTGAATGCCTCTTCAGTGTAATAGCTGAATTAGCTTTTGACCATCATTTCTCATTAAAATGTTTCCATGGATCTACCAAGATCACCCACAGAATAAACCTAGGCATTTCCTATTAGCAGTTGTGAGAGACAGGATGTTGAGCAATATGCTTTTGGTATGAACCTCTTCATTTGTTCTCATTACAGAGGACTGTGGGCGGTGAGAAAAGAAACTGAGTTTGGCCAGAGAGATTAGTAATCTGACATTAACACCTACTGAATAATGAGGATGTGCCAGTAAAGTCCAAATGAAATCTTGATGTATTGATTAAAAGAAAAATGTATTGCTGGGAAAAAGATAATCACTACAGGGAACTGGGTAATGACATCAAAACCACAGCTCTATTAGCTCAGAAGCAATGTTTCTGTTCCCATGATTGAACTGGAACTTTGCTCCATATATAATTCTTGCAGGTCTCACTGATGTTCACCAGAAAAAAAGAAATGAATGCTACATGCTGTGAATATGCAAACTAATGGATGTAGAGTAAAACATCTTGCCCTTTGATGCAGAAAATTCTTGGATTGATGGTTTGGATGGAAATTCTAAAACCTCAAGCCCAAACAGTTTTCATCAAGTCATTTTTCAGACATAAAGCAAAGCTGCAGATGGTGTTTATCAAGGTAGGTAGAAGATAAACTCCTCCAATCCCAAGGATGCTATGGAAAAAATCTTTAACATCAGTGGTCCTCTAAAAAACAAGGGAATTTCTATTTAAGTAATATTCATAGAATCATACATTGGAATGGTTTGGAAGAGACCTTATAAATCGTCTAGTTCCAATGCCCCTGCCATGCCCATGCAGATACCTTCTCAGCAAGAAAACATCTTCCATAATAAATTCATGTTTCTTCTACCTGACAAAGTCTGCGTTGGTTCAAAATGGTTCTTTCTCATAGAGGCAGGCTTCATGGGAAGGAAGCATGAATTTTTTTCTGTAACAGGATGGCTGTGCCGTGCTGAATTGTTCCTGTCCTGAGTCAAAGAGGAATAATGGAGCACTGTCGTTCCCTCTGCACAAAGGTACAACTGGGTAATTTGAACATGTGGAGAATGTTATTCACTAATTTTCAAACGGCGCTTCAAGATTTGATAACTGAACAAATCCATAAATATGGCCCAAATTTCTGATTAGGATTACAGAAGAGCTGAGCTGCTGAGAGTTTTGTCTTTGATTTCTTCGACCTTTGATCAGGCCATTGTAAAGCTAAGCCAATTTGAAATCACTGCATTAATGTTTTCTAACAATTTACAAAACTAGAAGAATATTGGCTCAATTCAGTAGGACCTTAAAGGAAGTACACCTACAAAAGAAAACTGACTGCTGTCACTTCTGCAAAGGAAAGCCTGAGAAATAAACACTGCTTGAAAATGCGTCTACTGGGAGGACAGATTTACATCTCGTTTCTTGTTTCAGTTGGTTTCACTGAAGAAAATAAAACTATTTTAAATTTAACCAGGAATTGGGCCTCCTTTTTTTTTTTTTTTTTTTCTTTTAATTATTCATTTAATTAACATAGACTGCTCTAAATCTTGAACTGGCATTTTCATTAAATCTGAGACATTACTTTCTTTCCCTTTTCAGTATTTTTTGGTTTACATTAGATAAACCTTTCATCCAATCCACCACAGAGGAAATTTCCAAATTAGCATCTTTAATAGCAGATAGGATTTTTAGAGCAGAAGCAGAAGTTCTTTTAAAAAACTGGAAAACCAGTACGCAGAATGCTCCAGAATTTGCTGGACTCTCTCAGAGGAAGGACTTGTACCCGATATTAATTTGGATGGGAATTTGTTGTGGAAAAAAAGCCCCACTGCGTATAACAGAACTTTTCTGTTTGTTAATAAATTGTTATTTTACATTTTGTTTGCTTTGTCCCAGAAACAGTAGACACACAGCACTATAGGACAAATACTGAACATTATTTTGTATTAGCAAGACAATGCTCATCTAAAGTTTAGCATAAACATCAGGTAAAGAGGTTTACCAAAGTGGGTTTTTTTTTTTTCCTTTAAAATATTGATCTTTTTTGATGCCAAAAAAGTCAAAAAAATGACTTCTTCCCATGTGTATAACAATAAGCTTTGATAGGCAGAATATACGAAATATACAGTAACTTCTTCTGAAAAGCTATCTAGGCTTACTCAGCTTACAGTATGTGGAATGTAATTATCCAGAAAGTGAAACATGTATAAAAATAGGTAAAATCCCTACAACTTTTGTACTGAATTATAATTCCTCCTGCCAGGAAGGTTACAACAACTCTACAGTACATGTATGAAATGTTTGTTCATAAAGTTAAAAAACATCATTACCGTACTGAAGAACACACTGAATGTAGGAATGCATAATCAGAACTGACTCTCAATTCTGCTTAGCTGGTGCAAATCTACAGAGAACCATCACTCATTCTGCACAAAACAAAACCAACCTCTAATCTGAGAGTTGTTTTTTCGTTTTGTTTGTGTTTGTTTGTCATAAAGGGGCCAGACTCAAGTTTACTAATGAAATTCCTCTGGAAGTGGAAGTATTTGTTCAAACACTTTTTTCCCTATCATCTCCACTCTGTTTACCAACAGCAGTCACCCACCTTTAAAATGATTATTGCCTGACATTACATGAAGCTTTTACTGCTTGTTCAGAACAAGGCAGTGAAATAGAAAGAACCTCCGATTCCCCTGGCGTGACCCAGTTCTGGGCTTGTGCTTTTTCACGAGTCTTTGATCTGCAGCAGGCCTCATAGGCTGGTCTCCCGGAGGAACATGGTGCCAATGTTGTAAGAAACTTTCCTCACTCTGGCGGATGTGATGGAGGGTTTTGGCTGCTTCTGACCACTTCTGACCTCGAGGAAGTAACAGATCCCAGGAATTTCCTTTGGAAAGTTTTCTGGAAGCTCTTCACGGGAACGAGGGATAAAAATAAAATTTTCTTCCTTTTTCAAAAGCCTAGAAAAAAAGGGAACAGAGAGATACAAAAAACTATGAAACACATTGCAGACACATTTCTATGGAAGAGATTGGTCCTATGTGATCTCAAATTTAAAAATGAATTTGAAGAATTATGTGACATCTAGAAAATCCTTGACCAGGATCCCCAGCCAATCTATACTAACAGTATCACCAACTTCAAGGGCAGTTGAACTAGATGATCTTTAACGGTCCCTTCCATCCAAAATGGTTCTATGATTCCAGACCTGCTGAGATCAGCTGAAGAGAAGGCCCAAATAAATACATACTCTGAAAAACAGTGTCAGCATTCAGAAACTCATATACAAGAAAGAGAATCAAATTTGAAACCAAAATAGGTCCCATAACAGCAAAAACAGATTCAAAAAGAAACAAATCAAATCTGACACTATCCATCAAATGTACCTGCAAGTTTAATTTAGGACCCCTGGTTGAGGTAAAAAACAGCTACAGGCTCATGTGAGGTGCGACTCTCCTCCAGCCATGCCATACAAACGGCACAATGTCACAGATCCGATGATACTGCCTGTTGCTATTTGTAGTCTTTCTTCATGTTGGAAAAACTTTTTCTGGCTAAATCAGATAATCTGGGGCCTTTTCATGAAAACAGCTTAGTTGCAAAATGAAGCAAATAATCTACACCTTTTCTATTTGTTTCCAATAAATGAAGAATCAAAAAGAACAATTTTGAGGTAACAGTAAATTCCAAGCACAGTTGGATATATGAAAGTAGCCTTCATCTTTTTCTCAAAGATATTTATTCTTTCAATCAGAGAGAAACTCAAAAACATCAGTGGGAAGAACTTCGTCAACTTCAGCAGATTTTGTAATAGGCTGTTCATTTAGTGTCTCTAAAGCTAATTTCTGGAGAGTAAATGACCGAATGAATCCTGTTGCTGGGTGAATATTCTAGGATTTTCAGCATTATATTCAGGATTTTCTTTTTTTTTTTTTCTTTTTGGATGGGAGAATCCATGTGAGCTCCTCACAATTTCTCTAACTATAAAGGCATTTTTTCCTCAGCTTTTAAATAATCAGATGGCTGTAAGTCTAACCATGTATTTGCCTTTGAACTTCTGTGGTGGTCTTTGTTTACCATATGGTTTGAGTGTCATAATCTATTTTCCAGGCTGTCAACTTTACGAGCAAAACACAATGATCTTCTTTCCATATTGTGTGAGAGTTTGCAGAGGCCTCTGCAGAGAAGCTTCTCTCCTCTCATCTCCACAATGCTTGCAGTAAATATCTTGTATTTTAAGTCTACCACTTTAATACAATGAAGCAACCCTATTTTTCAAACTAAATTTTGCAAGGAACAAATGAACTCTTAGAACTTTCTGAGCTAAAACCACAAGCTTTCACTCCAGACTTTCTTCCCTGAATGGCCCATTCACTGTAGAGCATCTAGCACTGCTAAAAATCAATGGTTTCTTTCTCAGAGCCCAAAATTATCTGATTGTAATGACAGTTACAGATAGATAGATTTAGTTCAGGGCTGGCATTGAGTTTAATCAGTATTTCACACTATTTTCCTCATAGGATGAAAGTGCAAGATATTAATCAAAGACCTTATTTTCAGCTGTTTTGTGAGTTGCAACTTGGTTGTAATGAAATTCTCTGAGATTATCAAAAGTGCCAGCAGTGAAGGGTGACTAACCAATTAGTACAGCTATTTGGATATTTATCCACTGTGGCTTGTGATAGACTCCACATCACTATATTAGGCAATATTTGAATTAGCCTCTCGTCAGAATTTGCCTAGCTGACCTTTTTTCCAGCTCCCAAGTGATCACAGGCAGGAAATAGTCCTCTTTAACAAATATTAATGGAAGCCACTTATAATCATATTCTATGCTACTTACTTTATATGCTTATGAAAAAAAAAAAATCTTGATGATTCTGAGAAAGGCTTTAAGCAAGATAAAAATGATTTCTTCCAGTCCCGTCCTAAAGTACCGGTTCTTCTTTGGACTCTGTAAACATACTGGTCCTGGCACTCAGTTTCTGAGACAGGGAGATCAGGTTTCAGAAATTGCATCTGATTTCTCATAGCTTTGTGTATACACCAAAAAAGGAGTTATCTGCTTATCCCCAGTGTTTATCAGTGGGACATTTTTCTCCAGGAAACTTCTCTGCCATATTTAGGCGATTCACAACGTTAAAACAGTACCAGCAGATGTCTGCAACCCAGAGCCACAGCCCTTGTTAAGATTCTTGCCTTCCTCTTCAAGGGTATGAAGAGCTTTAAAGTATAGTTCTGCCAAGAGCTGAACGAGTAGTGCAGATTGACAGCAAGGGCAAAGCTGAGCCACACAACTGGCTCTTGCACTTCCCCTCTGACTCTGGGCACTAACTGGTGTAAAACCTTGTGTCTGGAAGCTTGTGGTGGCACCCTGTCCTGGTTGTTGGTCCCAGCTTGCTGACCATTCTCAGAGTGCTTTTCTGTGCCTGCTCTGAAAGTCTGGGAATCTATCATTCAGCTTCCAGAAATTATCTGGCAGCTTAAACTCTACATAAAGCATTTCAAATCCCCTCAGTGTTTCACAGCTGTAGAGCTCCATTTGAGGTAATGCAACCTCAGCAGTTCAGGAATATGCATATAACAACTAGTCTGAAACTATTTCAAAGCCTTTATCTCAGCAGTCCTTCCTGCATCACTTCGGAATATTTCCCTTAAGAGCGCTTTTGCAAAGGTTTTATGGTAGGTTATTCACAGGGTCAGAATTCTGGATTCCACTCAAGCAGTTGGATACACAATTTACAATTCAGTGCTTAAACTGTGAGGGTCAGGCTACTCCAGCATTCCTACAAATTGCCTGGAACCAGGTCTACCCTCAGCTTGTCTTTTTCGTTGATGTTTCAGGGGAGGAAGATTTTCTTAAATGCTGATTTGTAATTTATTAACTTGACAGCTTCCCCTTCTAATGTGAAATCTTAACAGCTTAAATTCTTATTCTTTCCCTTCCCTGATGGAAACACTATTACTTTCAGACAAAAAGATGGTATCTGAGAATCATCCACTTTTCATTTTCAGGAGTGGAGGGGAGATTGGTATGTTTTCCTGCACATACATGCATTTTAACCTCAGTATAATGAATTTACATGGACTCTAGATAAAATTGATGTTATGATACAATCTGGCAATTTGTTTAGTCAGAGTAAAAACACCCACTCAGAACTGAACATTGATGTAAACTTCTTTAAGATATACAGTTTTGCATAGATCAGTGTTTGAGGTACATTTCTTAAAGAAATACAATGGACTAAATTAAAGGAGAACATATACTGCCTTCCTAAATAGAGCATGCAGCAAAAAGAACGAAGTGCTCAGGTCAATCTTCCTTACATGTTATCTTCTGTGACTATAAATTAAGAAAAATTATTTCTGTTCTAACTCTTACAGTGGGAAGCTGCTTCTGATGAAGTGTACTGAACTGTCTTTACCATGTTTAGCTCCATTTATTAATTGGTAAAATTAGGAAAAGCTAATTAATGGCTTCACAAATGGATTATCAGTATCCTCTGGGATTGCTGATCTCTTCCTCTGTGCGAATGAGCATTGGTCACTTCACTAGCTGGTATCTGGTTTCACAAAATACATCAACTCATTTTTTTCCATATGAATTGATGTGGCATTAATTGGAAATTGAAAGTCTGCTTATAAAATACACTATATAAGTGTATTAATTTGCCACTGTGATGCTCCAAATCAGTCTACTTGATCCTAAATGTTAGTGGCTTTGAATTTCTCCCACTGTTTTTGTACATACTAGCAAGACTGGAAGACTGAAAAAAACTTGATTGTGCTTGATTCTAATTCATGTCACGTTGTACTTTATGGTAGTTCATGTATTGGTGTTTTTCCTTCAAGTGTAGTAAGATTATGAAAGAATTAGTCCTGCTTTTGTATTTAATACATTTTAATAAATATTAAATAAATATTTAATAATAAATTAATAAAACTTAATAATTTGATTGCATATCAAATGCATCTATGCATGGTGCCTATCACTGATTTCTAATACTTCTATTTCTCACCCACTAAGCAGAAGAGTTACTGTGTCAGCACTCTGATCGGGACATAACAGAACCAGGTTCAGTGATTAGGATTTTGCCATCACTAGGGAAAGCTCACAGGCTTTATATTTATATAAGTAAAAAAAAAAAAATAGATAATGACAGATGTAAAAACTTATTTTTAAGTACAAAAGAGTAAAATGAGTTCCATGTAACAGCATAAAGATTCAAAATCTTGCAGGTTTTAATTGATTGTAAAGGCTGAGGGGCAATTTAGGCAAATGAACTGGCAATGACCTGACCCAGCTCCATGCAAAACGACCCTCGGTGGCTCTCTGCCCTAATCACATCAGGAGGTGGCTTACAGGCTGATCATCTTTGCCTACACTCAGGTGCTTGATGTATTGCCTAGCATGTGACAATGGGATCTCTATCCCATCCTTGCTTGAAGTATCTTATCTGTAAGGGAAATATGTACTAGAAAAGGTCATACGAGGAAAGAAGAGGGAAAAAAAAAAAGTTATTATTAAAATAGTCACTTGATCTAACGCAACAATTCAGTTTACCTGCTTTTGATAACAGTGTTGAAGTCCTAAGGCGTTATGTTTAAATACTATCAAGAAAACAGAATTAAAGTAGATGTATTATATTAGTACCAGATAAATATTATTATTCAAGGCTGAAACAAATAATTAAAAAGTAATTAATCTTTCTTCCATACTGAACAGGAGACTGAAAAATATGATTTCCCTTGCGTATGGAAAATATGGTAATTTTATTCAGTTCAGGGCAATATAAATCAATTACATAAGCCTATAGCTGGATTTGCCAGTTTAATACAGGAATGGGAAATGTGTTATTCTCCTACTCCTTCCTGGCAACGTGTTTAATAAGGGCCAGCCTGGGACCAGTCTCTACAATTTCCGTGTGTTTCACCAGAAGTTTTACCAGTGCTGTTCAGTGCTTTTCATTGTACAGTACTCAGTGATTCAAAGCAACCAGTGCTCTGTAATCCTTCTGTCAGAAGATCTGTCTGTGTCAAGAGAACAAGGTGTTTTGAAAAGAACTGATCTTTTATCACCAGCAGATTCAAAGCCCACATTTGTAAAAGACGCTGTCTTATACCGCAAGCAAGTCTGCCTCAGGCTCACTGCTGCTGCTAAGCAACACCTTATTTATTTAAACTCTCCTTCTCACACAGGCAGATTGTGGGCTCATAGGGAAGTGTCTGAATCGTTAACAGGCATACTGATGTACGATTATCATTTGAACGCTGATGACACTTTGTAACGCATAATTTATATTGTAAAATGAAAGCTGATAAGTATGAGACATGTTTGCAGTATCTGCATGCTTTGTAAGTACGAAATATATTATTGGAATCATCATGGTAGACACACATGCATTATGATAAATGCCAGTAATTAAAAGGAATCTGCTATTTTCATAATACTAATTGTGGAATTAGCTACTTTGTAGAATACTGCTTCTTAGATAATAAAAATATTAAATGAGTAAATGGCAACACAGAATGATCATAGAATCATAGAATCACAGAATCGTAGAATGGCCTGGGTTGAAAAGGACCACAATGATCATCGAGTTCCAACCCCCTGCTATGTGCAGGGGGAGTCACCAATTGGAGTGATTGGAGTCACCAACCAGCAGACCAGGCTGCCCAGAGCCACATCCAGCCTGGCCGTGAATGCCTCCAGGGATGGGGCATCCACAGCCTCCTTGGGCAACCTGTTCCAGTGTGTCACCACCCTCTGAGTGAAAAACTTCCTCCTAATATCCAACCTAAACCTCTCCTGTCTCATTTTAAGACCATTCCCCCTTGTCCTATCATTATCCCCCCATGTTACTTGCACTTACAGCTCTCTGAATTGAGCCCTGATTTTGCAATCTTTTGCAATAACATTACCACATCATCACTCACTTTTTCACTACCTTCCTTTTTTTTTTGAAGCTAAAGTCAAAATGTGTAGTATTCTGGATGATAAAATCAGAGATGATGATCACATTAGGTGTAAGCTTGGCCATGCTGAAACAATTTGACTTTCATCAACAATCCAGTGGTTTCAAGACATACTCCCATATTATACCAAAATGTCACCTGATACTGCATGGCTCCTCCGTGACTGTTTTGTAAATTGTTTTTTGCTTGCAGGTAGCCATGGGAATCTTTCAGTGCTCCTATTCTACAGACTGTGTTTTCAACAGACTTGAGCAGTCCAAAAATAACACAAGTCTGAACTGTTAAATTGGTATATGTTTTTCTATGGATTCACCAGAAAATCAATATCCAAAACCATTCAGAAGTAAACTTTGTGTAAAGAACTAAAGTACAATCTTGTCTTTTTGTCTTTTACTTTATTTTCACAATGTCTACTTGAAAAAAAAAATAACTGGATCCCTTCAGTGAAAGTTGCATTGTTCACCAAGTTTCAAAAGCTGTCAGTTATACACAACATATGAAACTATTCTAGATACACAGTTGATGCTGTGACATTAAGCAGGTTATTTTTTCTTTTACAGTAGAATGTGTAGGCTAACGTCAAAAATTATCAATTTCTTCATTTAGGTCTACAATTTCATCAACAGGCACTCAGGCTGCTAACTGGACAATCATATATGTCCAATCCACTTGTCAAGCAAGCCAATAGGTTGGACGCTCATAGACATCAGACCCATAAAATAATTCAGGCTGAGAAGCACCTCAAGAGCTTTCTCATCCAAACTATTGCTCACAAGAAGATAAATGCTGATTTCAGACTAGACTGCTCAGAGCTGCACTCAGACAGGTCTTGAAAACATTCAAAGATGGAGAATGCTCAGTCTCTGTGCACAGACTATGCCACTGTCCAGCTGTCCTCATGGGAAAGAGTATTTCTTCATAAGCAGGCTGAGCTTCTCCTCTTTATGTCCACTACCTCTTGCCCTCCCACATCACCGTATTCTGGACAGCTCAGATTTTTCTCCTTGATGATCTCCCTCTGACCACTGGAGTATGCTGTCAGTTCAATACAATTGTATATGAATACATATTTCCTACATATTTATAGAAATCATTGTTATTTAAATTAGTAGATTTTCTATACCTGACAGTAACTTAGCTCTATGCCTCTCTTGCACATTACCAGTAAACGACATGAACCTGCTTCTGCACACAATGCAAAAGTCTCTTTGGATTTTCTGCCTCTTGTTCAATTAGCTACACTTGCGTCCCTTTCCATAAATCTGATCTCAAGTAAATGGGCTCTTCAGATAAGGAACATTTTATTCACTAGTTTTAATTACTTTTTAACTTTTATTTCTGACCGCTTTCTATTTCAGCATATCAGAAGTTTCAATGCTTGGATGAAGAAATTCCATTTAAAGCCTTAATTTACACAGGTAGTTTTGGGAAAAGTAAATACTGAGATTCACAGGTCTGTAAAAGAAAAAAGAAAAAAAAAAAAAAAGAGAGAGAGAGAAAGAAAGAAAGGAAAGAAGTATTGTTTGAGAAATTTCTGACAGGCTTACTGCAGAGGAACAGCCTGAAAACCTGAGCAAAACTGTACTTCAGAAAATTACTTCAGAATGTAGAAAAAAAGAGTGAGATTTAGATCTCCTGCCCAAAAACAGCGAACATAGCAGTCATAATCCAAGCACAGAAATTCTTATAGTCAAGCTGTCAAATTTGAACAATAAGGAACACCTTTCATTATTTTAGGAGATGTTCTTCATAACCTGATTTAATCAAGCCTTTGCTTGATTATTTGCATAATTTCTTCAAAGAGGCAGTGATTGCACTTTGCCATTTCCAGTCTTTTTTCTTATATTAAGAAAATACTTTTATCAAGTGTTTCTTCACAGAAGAAACTTTGTTGCCAAGAAAGCACAAAAACTCCTTGGTGTCACTGTCAAAATTAAAAGCTTTCTCCCGAGCCAGTGGAAACATGCTTCATCTACTGTGTACAGCGGGTGAAAAGAAAACCCTTGTCTGAAAGCTGTGATAGTACACAAAAAGATGGCACTATGAGAGACACTGCCCATGAAATAAAAATCATAGAATATCCTGAGTTGAAAGGGGCCCATTAGAAACATCAAGTCCAAGCCCTGGTTCCACACAGCACCACCCGAAATCCAAACCTGGTATCTGAGAGCTGTGCAAACGCTCCCCGAGCTCCAGCAGCCCTGGGCAGGCTGTTCCATGCCCACCGCCCTCTGGTGCTGCCATGAGGCCTCCCCTCAGGGAGCACACCAGGGACCTCCCTGAGCACACCAGGGACCTCAGCCGCTCCTCGTACCCCTTGTCCTGCAGATCCTTCACCATCTCTGCAGCCCTCCTTTGGACTCCCCCTAATAGCTTTATGCCCGTCTCATACTGCGGCACCCAAACCAGCACCCAGGGCAGGAGGTGAGGCTGCACAGCGCAGAGCAGAGGGCGCAGCCCCTCTCCCTGCCCTTTGGCAGTGCTGGGCCTGGGGCGCCCCAGGGCACGGTTGCCCTTTGGGCTGTCAGGGTACACTGCTGACTCACACTCAACTTGCCGAAATTCAGAATCCCCAGATCCCTCTTCCTGCTCGCCACTCTGGTTCCCCAGCTTGTACATTGATCCAGAGCTGCCCTACTCTAGGTGCTTGCTCTTGCTTCAGTTTCTTGCTGCTGCTGATCCCTCAGCCCTCCAATTTATCAATATCTGTAATTCTTCCCTACTCTCAAGGGAATTAACAGCTCCTCTCAGTTTAGTATCATTCGCCCACTTCTGTTAGATGGTATTTTAGGTAAAAACTGCTGGCCCTCCTGTTGTGCTCCTTTGCTTTCACTGCCTCAGTTTTCTACACGTTCTGATACAAACATGCAAATGAATGCCTGAGAACATCATGCAATTGCTCTTTCCAATTATTCTGCAACCTACTGACTTTGTGCTGTAGTTCACATGCCAAGTGAGGGCAGAACATGCTTTAAGAACTCACTGTAAACAGATTGTAATAAAAAAGCAGTATGAAAAGCTAAGAGCACTTACTGGTATGTGGTTGGACTGACATTGATGCGACGCGGATGACTTCCTGACTCAAACTTGCTTGCAAGGGTGACATTGTTTCCAAAGAGACAGTAGCGTGGCATTCTTACACCAACAACGCCGGCCAGCACTGATCCTGAGTGAATGCCTATTCTCATCTGCAAAAACATGAGATTTGTGTCAGTTTGTCTATTCTGTGCTGCATGTGTTAATGGCATCAGCTCTAACTTACAAGTCGGCCACAGCAACCCTGTCAAAGAAATAATAAATCAGAGAACGCAGAATGAAAGCAAGTAGGCTCCCCATTCCACAGGCTCAGATCAGACACTGTTAATAAAGGGGAAGAAGTCAAACATGGTATCTTTTCACTAAAAGCACTTTTGTCTGCTGCTTCTGTGTCCACTGTGCTGGAGAATACCACAGTCAAAACAGGAATCACAAACAGGACAGAACCAAACAGCCAACTGTTACTGCAATATCAGTAATTTATTTACACAAATAGATAGACCACAGAGGGTTTGTCACCAGTTCTGATGCAGGCTTTAAAACAAGATGAAATTTTCTCAGGCTGAAAGGAAGAACAGTAAAATAGAGCGAATGAATATGGTACTTTTTTTCCATCATTTTTTTCCTGCCAAAGGGCTAAGGCTGATTTTCTCCCTTTGACAGATAGAGAGATAATGCAACAGTGAAGATGAGGAAATTAAGGCAGCAGTGATTTTAAAAATCGTTTCATTCTCTCCAAAATAAGAAGGTATAAATTCCAAGAGAAAGGAAAAAAAAAAAAAAGAAAAAAAAAAGGAAAAAAAAAAAACCAACCTTGTAATCACTCCCTTGAAACTGTCTGAGATGTGGATATCAAACTGATTCTAAAAGCTTGGAATCGCCCTCCAAGGTTCCTTTAGTAATCAGTTCAATTTATTCATAAATTTTAGCAACCTATTTTGTTTGACAATATAATAATTTTTACAAGTAGGGAAGTCTTTTTCTCTTGTTAACTTTATAAAATTAAGAAAAAAGAAAAGAGGCTTATATTACTAGCTTCTGAGGACACTTTTACTTGTAACAACTGTACTGAGACAACGCAGAATCATAGAATCCTAGAATGGCCTGAGTTGAAAAGGGCCACAATGATCATCAATCATTGTTTCAACCCCCTGCTATGTGCAGGGTCACCAACCAGCAGACCAGGCTGCCCAGAGCCACATCCAGCCTGGCCTTCAGGGATGGGGCATCCACAGCCTCCTTGGGCAACCTGTTCCAGTGCATCACCACCCTCTGTGTGAAAAACTTCCTCCTAATATCTAACCTAAACCTCCCCTATCTCAGTTTAAAATCATTCCCCCTTGTCCTATCACTGTCCACCCTCATAAACAGCCGTTCCCCCTCCTGTTTATAAGCTCCCTTCACGTATTGGAAGGCCACTGTGAGGTCTCCCTGGAGCCTTCTCTTTTCCAAGCTGAACAATCTCAGTTCCCTCAGTCTTTCTTCATAGGAGATGTGCTCCAGCCCTCTGATCATCAACATGCAGGAAACAAATAATAAAGCAGAGGATCCAATGGAGACTGATTGAGGGACTTATTTACACCAACCTGTACTCCATTTGACTTATTCAACTCACATTTATCACAGTGTGTTTTTGTCTAATAATCCCTATTTTAATAACCGTTAATGTCTGCCTAAATACAAATAAAATAATAAAATTACTATCTTGTTAGATTACATAGCAGAATATATTGTTGAGAAATCACTCTTAGCTTTGTACCCTTGGTGCTTTTGAAGTTCTATGAACACGTGGGATCCCACATTATTTCACTCCCTATAGTTCTTCCCATGTGTCCTAGGCTTTTACCACACAGCTAAGCACCCTTCTCATTTTGTTCATCTCTTAAATGCCACCAGCAGTAGGTATGGCATTATATTTGCCATACACTAAGCCCATGCTAACCTAAGAAGACAATGTTCTGTATTGTGCGATACAACTTTCAGCTATCCCACGGGCACCATAAAACCTTCAATCCTCTCAGTAATGCTGTTAATTACAGGCTAGAAATAATAAATAAATAAATCCGTGAACAAACAGCACTCAAATTTCATTGGGCTTTCAAACCTTTACTATAGTTTGAAAGGCAGCTGCTGAAATCCCCCAAATACTATATTCTACTGGGCTGGGAAGCACCCACAAACTTGCTTTGGCTGCAAACATCTATGCAAATCCATCACATCTACATTATTTTGACAGTATTTAGGAGCATGAAGATCTCCAGCTTTTGCACAACATATTGCTCATTTACAATGGAAAAGAGTGGTTCTTATCAAAAAGTGAACAGGTCTCCTGAATGTTAGAGAGATAAGAACTGCTCATGCCTGTACCTGCCCTCAGCAAAGGAGCAGACAGCCTTGTTCACACAAAAGTACAGCTTTCAATGAACAATAAAGCAGTATTTGCAGTGTCTTGTTTTTCTGAGATAGGGGGATTAGTTATGTTGTACAGAATTTTATGTAAGAGCACAGCCTTATTTGTCTACCTGCACTCTGCACATTTATTAAAGGCTCACAAATAAACCACTCACTGTGACCCCTTCTAGAGAATATTCAATTACATGTGAAGGCCAGACCAAAACTACAAGAAAGAGCACTAGCTTTATTTTGCTGTTGGAAAGAGATGAGAGTATATACTAGATTGGAAGGAAATCCTGGTAGCAATAATAAATAAATGAAGGCACTAATAAAATAAAATCAACTTTTACAAGTGAAAGATGAAAGTTCTTGATGTTTGGTTTTCACTTCCACTCTTTAAGAGCTTCTTTTCACACATCCACCTAATTCCTTTATCATTCAGGGCTTAAATAACAGAGAAATGTACTCAGGATTTCCAAATAGTTGCAAAACTGTTAGGCTGTCCTGTTATTGATTTTGATCAATATATGTCCTCACACTGACAACCAACTTAATGTACTAAAATTCATATTTCCCTTCAGTCAAAACTGAGAAATTTAATTAAAATCTTCCTCTATTATGTGTATTTAGAGGAGTAAACAATGTTCCAAACTGTAATGATACCTGAACATTTATTATTTTAAAATTATTCTTCAAGGTTATTAAGTACATGGTGCTGTGCAAAAGTATCCGTGCTAAACTCAGAAGAAAAGAAAGGACATGAGATACATTTCCTGACAGGTGGCAGTATGAAGAATTGGACAAGGACATGATAATGAGGAATTATTCTTCCTGATGAAAGGCAGAACAGGAAAAAAAGACAAGCCCATGATATCTTTCTCTTTGTCTGACAGTAAGGAGTACTTGATGCTGTAAAACGCAAGCAAACTTTCTCATTCAAACGTCCTCATTCATGGTACATGTAATCCTTCTCCTGGTAAGCCCAGGGCAAAAATGCATGACGATTTCCAAAAATATGTCTGTGATCTTTATTTCAGAGATTTCCAGAGCCAAAATAAATTCTTCTTTTGTAAAGGAAAGGAAAGGTGTTTGTTGCTGACGCTTCCTCCTCAAATATGAACCATGATAACATTTCCTGGGAGTGGTATTTGATGCAATATGCAGTGCGAGTACATATCCTTCCCACCACACAGGAAAGGACCTTAATAAGCAGTTCTCACACTCTGAAAAACATACTCCCATGCTTGAAAGATTGCCTGACAGGTGAACTGCATCCAGGTGGTGTCAAAACCCACCTTCATATAGCTGCCTGCTTAATGCAGACCGTGTGCTGAAGAGGTGAGGGTGGGCTGGAAGTAGGCGACGCAGTTTCAGCAGCAGCAATCCTGCATGCAGCCAGCCTGGAGGGTTTCAAACCAAATAATGTGACCAGATGGCAGCTGCTCAAGCTTTGTGCTGAGCCAGTAGCAAAGCTCAGGCAATATGAAGCAGGACCTACAGGGAAGTATTCCCAGGCACATGGACATCCCAGGCCACCATTTAAATACCATTGAAGCATTCTGCTGATCATTATTTTGGACATCAATTTTCAATAATCATAGAATGACAGAACCGTGTGAGAAGGAAGGTACCCTTAAGGGCCATCTGATCCAACTCCTCTGTAAGAAGCAGGGACATCTACAGCTAGATCAGGATGCTCAGAGCCCCATCCAGCCTGACCTTCAGTGTTTTCAGGGACGGGAAATCTATCACCTCTCTGGATAACCTGTGCCAGTGCCTCACCACCCTTAGTGTAAAAAACATTTTCCTTTTATCCAATCTGAGCCTCCCCTCCTTCAGTTTGAAACAATTACTCCTTGTCCAGTGATATACTTGGATATCTGTACACTTCCATTTCTCAAAGAATAACTCATCACTTTCTGCCCTAACATATTGAGCAGTATTCAGTGTTTAGGTAGAAACTTTCTTTATTCTGCCCCTGTAGTCACCTTTAGAGAGTCACCTCTCACAGCATGTCTTAGGTATTAGTCCATGACCCACTGCCAGATCCTCTCAAACAGAAAATGCCCAGTTCTGTAAGATCTTATCTTCTCTAATATTTGTGGCAACTTCTAACAACACCACTATCTCTGAATCTCAACGTATGCATTACACAGGGATATTTATTTGTGAAATGTGTTACTGCAAAATAGGCTATTCAAAGCTCAGAGCTCTAAAATCAGGGCACACACTGGTGAGTCGCGGTTCCTTTCTACTCCTTCAAAGAACTGCATGTTGACAGGACCGACAGCTATGCCCTGACATATGCTTTAGTGTGGGGGTTATTTGTATTCTTAGATAGATTTATAAATATCACAGTGTCTTTCTGGAAAGGGACATATGACACCACAGCTCACTACAGAATTGTTGCCAAGGAACAGACCTGCTCAGAGGAAAATTTAGATCATTTTGAAATTCACAAGGTGTTCCATTGAACAAAACTACGGGATACATTTCCCCTATATTAGAATAACATTAAAAGAAATGAACACGGCTTTTTTTCTAATGAGAATTTCCTAGATTTCTTATTCATAGACTTATAATTATTTAGCCTGTCTGAAATAAGAGACCGAAAATTATACATAGGAAAAATAAAATACAATAATGAACTAACACACTGAATTTCTTTGATCAATAAGTCTATCAAATATTTATTGGGTAAAGAAATTGTAGTTTGTGTGAAGGCTACAGCTACTTTACTAGTGTGATCCACATAATA